AACTTGTATATTATTGTTGATATTTTATATATCAGGTGGACTGGAAAGTGATGTCGTTTCTGCGGATCTCAATACTTATATTATCATTCATCAGCTCAGTGATTTTCATCGATCTTGCACTAAAAATTTGTACATTAAGTGGCAAGGGGCTGTTGGTAACGAGGGATGATTACATAATTACTTAAAAATAGAAACTCGTTAAGAATGTATTTGTTTGAATTTAATATAAACGAAATGATATTACTGTTCGATCCTCCTAATACATGTACATTTATGCATAAAGATCCCCATATATTTATCCATTTATGTACGAAGTTCTGCGTTTATAAACATTTTCATAAATTTCCCTGTATTATCATTTGCTACAAATGCATAAAGATACCTAATCAACTAACAAATAAAGGTCACGTGAATCCTGGTTTTGCATGTACGACTTAAACGTACGTTGCCTGGATTTGTTCCAACATCGTGGAGATGCCGTTCGGATGGTAGAAGAAATGGAACGTCGTAACTTCCTGTTCATTCCTGTCACTGTATTTATAGGAATGCGCAAACGCAGCCCGCGAATAGACTACTTCGTACAGATGTTGCAATCCTGTCAGTCTGACTGTGACTAACGTTGATTATGGTACAAGAGTTCGGTTCGAGATTTCAAACGACGAATTCCTGCTTTTTGTTCGTCAAGCTTGATTCAAGCCGCTTGATGGAAACATGCTTTCCTTTTCCCATTTTCGCGCAACTGTTACGGTTGCTGGTGCATGCCTCATACAACTGTACGCGACGATTCCAATAACCTTGAAATAGATTATTATGAATTACTCACGTGTCACGACAATTGTTTAAATTATATCGTGAAGTCATCATTTTTTCACCACTTTTTTTTTTACCACCCTAATACTTTTTTACGTAGAATGTCGAAAGGAATAAACCTACGTAAGAAAGCTATGGATTTTCATTAAAAAAAAGTAATGGAACTATCGATTGCACACGCACCATCGCACTTATAACAAAAAATATGACCCTGGAAATACAGTACACTTTGAACTATTCACGTTTTTCCTTCGACATTTTTCTCTAAATGTGCTGATAACGAAGTCGTAGCTTGTTACATTTACTTGGACCACACTGTATAAAAAACGGTTCCAAAATTACAAAAACCTTGATTTCTATGCAGATTAAAGTGCATTAGGAGCTTTCATGTGGTATTGTGTCGAGAGAATCATTGCAATAATTGTAGTTACTCCTAGAATCTATATCAGCTTCATTTAAACTGTAAAATACACCATTCACAAATAATATTATTTATGAAATGTTCATCGCAGGAATTTTAAAACTACTTTTTCCACGTCTTCGTAAAGGTTCTATCACGTGGTCGGTTGAATAGCGAGTCTATGCACCTGTGCTGCGCAGGAATACACTTCAACAAGCGACTCTGCACGAAAATAAGAAGCGTGCCGAAAAGGGGAAGCATGAAGCGTGCCATATTCCCCTCGAGCGGCACGAATCTGCCGACTCGGATGCACTTGGTGTGGGTGGAACGGATTTAGCTCATACACTTGTATATTTTCTTATTCGTGAGACTGTAGTCTGTACTGAGAAATCCTTATGTTTGTTAGACTGGTTCGAACTTTCTTGTATTAGAATTAATTCTGAAATTGCTGTAGTACATATTTATTGCGTGGTACATATTTATTGCGTGGTACATATTTATTGTGTGGTACATATTCTATGGATCGTTGACCTATTTCAACTCTTTGAAGTTAGGTAGAGTAAAAATGATCCCACCTTTTGTTTAATTTTACTATTTTATTTAAAGTTTTTCATTTGTGTAGGAATCCTATGAACTATCGCTAAAAGTACAGGTTGAATCAGAAATGTATACAAGTCAAAGCGCAATAGCAATTTGTTGACGCTGTTTTTCAGTGCAGAGTAAATTTTAGTTTTCTTTTATAATCTTTTCTTTTATATGCACGTTACACGTATACATGTTTATGCAATAAAGCAGAAGAAAGAACTTTTAACGGATGAGTATAAAAATTCCATACTTCACGTTTCGCCACTCCTAAACGTAAAAAGAACGTATAAATTAACCTCATCCATTGCATCAACATTCCACAGCTGAAAAGCATCCAGTACAGACTTCGCACAGTTCTGCATTCCGATAAAGAAAAATAACAAAAAGCAAGGAAGATTCCCCGCATTCACGAATCACGGAATTCCATAATAAAATTCAAGGACTCATAACTCGACCTCGATTTTCAGTAGCATATCCTGTTCCCTCCTCTGCTGTAAATGCTATAAGGAAGACTAGTCTGCTCCATTTATGATATGCAATATTTATTTTATATATAGTGTCACTAAGTAATGTTCTTTTAGTGAATTTTTTAGAATTAGAGATTTTAATTGCTTAAAAGTATAAAATAATTTCTATTTCTTTTATATTAAATTATATTGAATATTATATTAAATTTCTATTTTCTTTATATTAAATTATGTTAAATAACCATTTCGTAGTCAAGGCAAAATTAAATACTTTTAATTCCTGCTTGAGTTAGTTTTTGACGAGGGCGGCAATATTGAATGCTGTTAATGTATACATGTATACTGTCTACGTGAAAATACTGTCTGAGTAGGTTTGGGATACTATTCGGTGGAAGCGCCGATATTGAATAGCGTTAATGTATACATGTATACTGTCTACGTCGAAGTACTGTCTGAGAGGGTTTGATGTATTTGGTATTGGCGATGCCGGATGGGAGAGCGATATTGCATACAGTTAATGTATATACTATCTACATGAAAATACTGTCTGAGTAGGTTTGAGATAGATTTAGTAGAGGTGCCGATATTGAATAGTGTTGATGTATACATGTATACTGTCTGCGTGGAAATACTGTCTGAGAGGGTTTTGAAATGAAAGTACGAATGGATGGAAAACAGACGTTAATCTTATACCGAACTTTCCTTTCGGAAAAAGGAAAATAGACAGTGTGAACCTAGCGAGCGAACCATAATCCACCACCATATTCCGTCGTACCCTATTAATTTGATCTTTTCATTAAACTTTCTTTTATCCATAACCATCTGTGTTCATTGTATCACAGCAATACCACGCAACTCCACTTTAATTGCACTTTGTCTTTCTCTGCTCACTCTGCGTACATCAAAATATACAAACCCAGTGCTAAACACTCCCCTCTATCACCTCCATATAGTAGCCTCCTGTATCAGCAATAAAAACAATACATCGTAAAATTCCTAACTCGACCTCGATCAATATCCATGCCGATCTTCCATCTACTCGTCCCCGCCCTCCGCTGCTCGACGAAGACTGGTCTGCCTTTGCGTGCACGAGTCGCATTAGAGCGCTGAATATTTCATTCATAAGCGGGCCGAGCAATCACCGTATTCCGCGGACGTGCACAGCGGAGGGGTATCGTAGTACGCGTGCGAGCGGTCTCGCGAGCGCGGCTCGAGCAGAAGCGTGCAAGACCGGCGCGGGTAAGTTGCAGTAGTGCAGCTGCAATTACGTGTCCGTGGGCCCCCGATGCCGTGAATGAAACGTCTCTGTCCTTTTTTTCCTCTCTTCTCTTCCGCTTCTTCCTCTCGTTCCTCCCCCACTCCTCGTCTCGCTCTTTCCCTTCTTATCACCGCGATATCCTCCCCTTTCCTTGTCCGCCGCCAATTCCGACCGCGTCGGCTCGCCACGAGTCTTTCCGCGGAACAGGGAGTTTAATGAGCGAGCGCCGTGTGGCGTTCCACGTCGTTGAGGATGCACCTTGTTGCGCTCGGCGACGCGCGCCGCGTACACGGACGGGATTCCGCGATGCGCGTCCGGACGCCCGTGAAACGCGACCTTCGATGTAGTTCGAAGGCACTCTGAATCGAGCAGCGTCGAAGCATTCAGCGATTTTCTACTCAATGAATCGGTTGATTAGTCGAAAATTTAACCCTTCGCGCTCGGGTGGCGCCTCTAGGGCGACATATGTAAATTAAAAGCGATTTTATGACATCGTTTTACAAGATTTAATACGGACGTGTAATCTAGGTTATTATTTTGATAATAAAACGTGATGTAAAGTTTGATGTTTTGAAAAGAAAATTTAAGATGGCTTGCAATAATTCGTAACTGAGAAGGCTATGAGATTATCCCTTGAGTAATTGCAATCAATTTGAACTGTGAGACATCTCGTAATTGACAGTGAATGGGTCAAAGGGGAAACTTTTAATGGGAAACAAACGTTGACATTTAAAATTATTATACAAAAGATTTGCTAAAAAATGTCGGTTTTTATAAAAAAAAAACCATGCTTTTCCGCATTCAAACGTCATTTTCTCCTTGAAATATCACCGTACAATTTTTTTTTACTTTACCATTGAAAATCTGAGACTTCGAGGAAGTTTTTCCCAAGGAGTGCCCGCCAAACAAATATGTATTTGAAACCGGAAAGCGCATAGTCAAATATCAATAGAAAAGTCAAATTTTTTAGAATTGTCACAATTTTAAGTTGGACATCATTTTTCACTTGTTAAATCTACGTGATAAATTTTGGTTTGGCATCAGGGAGATGGGAAATTTAACGCTCCTTCGAATGGTATACTTAGTTTTAAGTTTGCACTGTAATTTGATGGAGTCATGGCCGTTTAAAGAGCGCCAACACGAAAACACAGAAAAAGAAAATTAAAAGTGAAAATACTCCTAAATAAGAGGTTTCTAGAAAAATGTCTAAGAGCTATTTTTTGTTACAATTAATTGTAAAATTTACTCGCTGAATTCGGACATAACTGTAGACACCCTGTCGATCAATTGTACTTATTTTCTTCGCTTTATTTCAATTTCCTTGTACAATCTACGTTAAACATGCACTAATGAAACCATAATTTTCTAAACTTTTAAACAGCTTTTAAAACAATTTTTCAGTAACTTTTAAATAAAAAATAAAACAGTAGCCAGAAATGCACCAGAGTATCCCCTAACTAGCCTCTTTTTTTTTTTCCAGAACTTCCGCGAGCATCGCATCGACGGTGCAGCGTTGCCGCTTCTCTCCGAGGACCACCTGACGGGCCCCATGGGGATGAAGCTGGGCCCGGCCCTGAAGCTGCGGGCCCTCCTGGCTCGAAAGCTCGGAGCCTGCACGGTGTGCTTGCATTGCGCCCACTGTCATCAGTCACCTCTCCCAGCGCTGACCGCGGCCGCAGCGGCGGCAGCGGTGTCGCAGCAGCAACACCAGCAACAGCAACAGCAACAACAGATCCCTGGCAGACGACCGAGCAGCACGGGCAACTGACACATGATGGCGGGGCCTCCACTGGTCTTGCAGGGCGCATCGACGTTCTCTTCGGACCCGAACAGGGCCCTCAGGATAGAACGACGCGTGCAACGTCCGATTCGCAAGCCGGAAGTCATCTTCAAGAAACCAATCAAGCAGTGACGCTGCACCTGTGTGGCCGTCACCGCGGACGCTAGTGTTTTGGAGACTCCGCCTATTGTTTAAGTGTTCGTTTGGGACATCGTTCGTGGGGGACATGAGTAAAAAGATAGGGAAACGATGAGGAAGGAGACGGGATCTTTCTGATAGTTGCAATCGAGTACCTGGAGAAAGTGCTGCGAAGGATCCTTGAAACACACGAGAAGGGTTACGTAATGCGAACATTTGTGTCATAGACTGTGCTGCCTTATTAATTCGAGATGGGGTTAGCTGGCCTTTCTATACTTCTATCTCTATTCTTGGAATAGTTTCGAGTGGTCTTGAATAGTCTGGTATGTTCAGTGGAATGACCTTTTAAGTCTTCCAGCTCCAGGGATGCTTCTCACCCTATCTTCCAAAACTACCCACGAGATTATCAACTCGATTATGTTCAACCTTTATCACTACAAAACTTTTACAGCTCACTGTCAGTTGGAGTTACAAGGGTTCAAGTAGGAAATACAATTGGCGTTGAATATCGACATTTATTTTGTTCTCTGGATCTAGACTGAACTTTCCTCGCTGTGTCTGTGGGTGCTCCTCGTTAAAAATGGCGTCATTGCTGAGAAATTTGGAGTTATAAGGGTTCAAGTAGGCAATTACAGTTGGATTGAATATCGACATTTATTTTATTCTCTGGATCTAGACTGAATTTTCCTCGCTGTGTCTGTGGGTGCTCCTCGTTAAAAATGGCGTCGTTGCTGAGAAATTATATATAGAGCATATTGTGAACCTGAACACCTAGACTGCGCAAAAATTATTATTGCACATCCAAGAAGTACTATCGTTCAAATTAACGCCAGGGCCAGCTACCGACACAAAATCATTGTAAAACATGTTCCCAAACGAGTGTTCGCATTATCTTCCGCAACCCCTGCCGGTGGCAATACGTGACTTCGGCGCGTTGTACTTAGACACCCGAGTATGTTAGAATCAAGTCCACGGTTACTTGATTCTAAAAACGAATCCAGAGTTGAAGACTCGCTCAATCCTCGACGCTACTTCTCGCCTACTCACGGAACTTGTTGCATTGGCTCGTACCCATCCAGCTGCACGGATGCGAACCAAGGACAATAATATTTAAAAGTTCGTTGCGCCGCGAGGAAAGCGATCGATATTTTTCAAGCAAGCTCCGAAGTACGTGGAAGCTGGTACCAGTTGTGATTAATTCCGACGACGTTCTAGACGATCGGCGGATACTCGGTGCCTGAAACGAGTGTATTCGCAAACCGATTTAGATTTCGTTTAAGAAGCGGCTGCCGGCGATACAGGTCCGGCGCGGATGTTGTCAGCCTGACGTACAAGGTTGAGAATCGAGTATCCGTAATTGAGAATCCGTGTTCAACGTTGAATCGAACACGTTGGCTGATGTTGACAGACTTGTATCACCGGTCGGTCTTCTGGATCTCGGCGAGACGAGGCTTTCTTTCATTCTCTTTAACCGGGAGGAAGCGGAGGGTAACTAACAAGTGTTAACGTTGTTGCGTTGCCGCGGAATCCGGTTATGAATTAGAAATAGACACGCGATCGCAGCGAAGATGCCTGGATCTGTATAATAACCGAATTAATTGGCTCTAACGTTCGCGGCAGAAAAAGAAACGATATCGTGCGCCTGCGGGCTAATTCAAATTACATCCTCCTCGTTGAAGAACCGTACGCCAGCCCAATTAACCGGAATTACGCCGTCGATTGCTCGACAATAATTACAGTAACACCTTGTATAGAATGCTCAAAAATTGAGACAGCCGATTATCAATAAGCGAAGCACGAGAATCGTTTCGTTGCAATAGGTTGAACTTTAATGGCTTGGTTGGAAAGGGTTTTTAACGGGATGTAGCGAAATGGAGATCGAGCTGAAGAGACACGTGGTGGGGAAAGTTCTTGGGCATAGAATTTTATCAATATTCGATACACTACTGTAACTTGTTGTAGTGTATAGACAATCAATAATTACAGTGGTGCCTTTAGTAATGCTTAAAAAACGAAACAGCTGATTATTTATCAATATGTGAAGCACCAATAGAGAATCGTTTCGTTACATCTTGTCAATATTCGAGGTATTACTGTGACATATTGCGATGCATCGACGCGTCCATTTCGTATTCCTAATTATCGATTTGGTAAAGTTAAATGGAATTGTTGGAAAAAAGAATGTTTTACGAAGGTAATCCTGGGGATGCTGGTTATGGTTGTTCAACTACGATACACGTATCGCGGAGGAAGTATTATCGAAGATCAACGAAACGAGTGCCTATATCCAGAAAGTCTTCCAAAGGCTGGCCTTTCTTAGAGAATACCATTATCGAACGAGTCGATGATTTTTGTGATCCACGCGCAACGATTCGTTGAAATCAGCCCTGCTGATTTACTGGTACCTTTTGCCTGAGAACAGTTTCACGGCGACAAAGGCTGGAAATTATTCGAACCTTTCCATGTGGCACGTTTCGTTCATGAAAATGAAATTAGTAATACGAAAACAAGTGAAATAAGTATCTCCTGTTGTTCATATGAAAATTCTTTCAAGCGTTGATGTTTGTTTAAATTAATATTTGTTCTTTAATTTCTGCGTTAATGATCTGTAACCAAGATCAAACCCGTTGAATTTAATTGCTTTAAAATTGTTCATTTTCCACTCACCAGCAGATGCATTTTGTATTCGAAAGTGAGTGAAAAATTCTATTCGAATAATATATCACAAATAAGACCAACTTATAGATTTATTTACGAGATTTACTCAGTTACATGATAATATTCAATAATAAATAAACGTACAAGGCGGTCTATTTTTTTTTTCATTCGTGTCCGAAAAGTTTCAGTTGTTAACGCAGAATCTAATTTCGATTAAACGAATAATGGACGAAAAGTTTTCATCCTCTATTCGTTACTCGAAATTTGTATCGAGTTTCTAAAATACTCTATGCGACCATAATTTTTAAATTTTTAAGAATTAAACCCATTTGGTTTCCCACGATATAAAAATACTTCCTATTTAAATACTTAATGACATCAATTATGAATAATTAGCCAGTGAATTAGTCACAGGAAAGTCGAATAATTTCACGAACCCAACACTGACAGTGGTAAACCGAAAAAATTACCATTACCGATCGTCGTGAAATAAAACTGACGGAGATCAAATTAAGGAGAAAGTATGCTAAACATACCGGAGTGTATCTATTAAATAATTGTTGTTCGCGTGCGAAGAGATTGAATGAGAGAACGATCGTGCAGAAGGGAGAGAAAGATGAAAAAGAGACAACATTTTATTAGAGAAAAATTAATGTGCAATAAAGGAACGTTTCGACACGGTACTTTTAACTATGATAGGAGATACGTATTTGCTCAAATCGTTGTTTCTTTTATATATTTTAACGAAGTTTTTATATGAATGAATTATAATGATAAATATACTAAATTATATTTTTGCTAGCGTTCTACGTGCAAAAAGGAGTGAACTCCGCACACGTATATACATTCATAAACCGTACGAAAACAAGAAAAATACATGTAACCGTACACACACACGCGTGCGCGCGCGCGCGCGCGCATACACGCAAACACGCATACACGTTCACGCATACTCGATACGTAGCAAACGGCATAGATTTACGAGCGACGGACCCGTAATATAAATAGCTTAGAAGAATTGTAAATTAACTTTCCTTTTTTTTTTTTCTTTTTTTCTTCTCTGATTTACAACGTTTGGCGTTTATTTATTTAGAAGTAAACCGTTGCCTTATTGTATTCACGTATAACAGTTAAGATGTAAAAGCGACGTCCTAGGAGAAGAGAAATGGTCGGGAGACAATGTTAGATTGAAAAAAAGTTGGTAAGTTCGTAAAAAAAATGAGCAGTATTTTTAGATTTACATTAGCCTGAATTTACTGCAGACTATATACGTTTATAATTGTTATGTACACGGACACTTACACACGCGACGACGCACGCGCGAAACATCTACACGTGCTTCCAGTTTCCAGTAGACTCAGGTAATTCCATCTTCAAAGTCGCTAATATTCCTCTCGCGTCATTTTCCAACGAAGTAGAGGGAGAATTATTTTTTTTAATTTTCCCGTCACATTGAAATTGAATTTAATCGAGATTCAAACAAATCGGCTGACGTTCCATTGTTATTATATCCCGCATTCGCGTGTACGATTTTGTTTATTAAAAAATAGAGATTCAGCAACGAGAGAAATGTCCAGCAATTAATTACGGAGATCAATGTTTGAACGGAAACTGTGAGGTCACGCGCGGACATTAATCGAGCAAGCGGCTTTTACTTAAACCGAGATCACTGTACATAATGCTTGAGCATTTATTTATATCATGCTTTCACAAGAGGACCCGTAGTATTTTATTTAGTTTCGTAGCCGGGGTTCACGCGCACCATTTACCGCGTCGCACGACATCATTACATTACCGAGCAGCAGGATCGCTCGTACGGAACAAGAGAGTGAGAAGAAATCGGATAGAGTGCGTGTGTATGTGTGCGAAGAGGAATTAAGAGATAAAAGGTGAGAAAGAGAGAGAGAGAGAGTATTTTACAAGACGAGAAAAATATAAGAGAGAAAAGTAGCGTGGAATTATTTAAAGGAAATATAAGAGTATTGTACAGGGAAAGACGAACGAAACGGAGAAGAGGGACGAAAGAACGGCCGATAAGGCAATCATGTGATACTTCGATGTTCTTCCACCCATTTTTCACCCTTCGTTTCCTTCTGCGACTAATTCTTGCGATTTACGTTCAACCATCAACCCCTCAAACCTCCCCCATTCCTTCGGCACCCCTTTTTTATTTCTCCATCGCGAGTCTGTCGTGTATTATTTTACGATTAACTGTCATATTATGTATAGTAGAATTTAATGGTGAAAAGAGAACAAAAACAGTACATTGTTTCTGTTAAAATAAACATTGTTGAAAAATATCTGATCTTCGAGTACCACCCTGTGTTACAATTTTGCTCGATTACAGGAACAGGAGAGGTTATCGTGTGTACGATTCCTTGAAGTATCGGACAGGTGAGTTGGCCTTTCGATAAAGAGATGGGTGTTCTTACAGAGACGTGTGTACGTTAAAGATTTTCACAGGAACGTATTACTTTTTAGAGACACCTGCCAGCAGAATTAATAATTTCACTACCACTAGGTTTGGGAAGTCATTTTGACCCATTTCTATTTTCACAAGGTTGAACAGAAACCGTGTATATTATGTCGACTCTTATCTATATAAAAAGACAAGCGTATGTCCAAATACATTTTTTGTTATTTGGATGTCTCAAACCAAAGTTTTGATTTTATTTCTAAAATGTCACGAATAAGTCCTACAATACTCAGTCATACAATTATATTTAAAAATAATTAAAATGAAAAGGTGGTCTACTTTCATTTCTATTTGTGTCTGAAAAGTTTCAGTTTCGAATGCAGATTCTAATTTTGATGAAACGAATAATGGATGAAAAGTTGTAGCAACAAACCGTGAAACCGTAGAAACCGTGTATATTTTTCGCCGATCACTTATGCTGATTCTTATCCATATGAAAAGACAAATATCCAACTTAATTTTTTGTTATTTGGGTGTCTCACAAAAAAGTATACACTGTCTTTCTTTTGTTTTGCTATTTAAATATTAATTCTTTGCGAATAAAGGCTCAAGTAACAATCATTCAAAAAACAAAATTAAGTTCAAGAATCATGTATTATTGCTCTCGTGTATAATATAGATACAAATAATAAAATAACTGACGGTGATGTTACTATAGCGAAATACTTAAATAAATTGTAAGGAAAGGAAAAGTGGAGGTTGCTTGTTGATTAAATTTAAATACAATGATCCATATTTTTGGTAAAGATTACTTCTTTATTATGTAAACTTATGGTTAGTAATTAACATTATCAAGGCGCATTTTCTGAATGAAAAGTATATGAGTAAATACTGATTGAAATCATTTTTAAAGCAATGTAAATATACAGTGTTTGCATCAAGTTTCCTTTATTTTGGTCCGTTCATTAAGCTTCCTCTTCAAGCAACTTTCGCCTGAAAAAATATAATTTTCTGTAATTCTAGTTTTCAACCAATTTTATAATATAGTAAACAATCACTTTATGTTTATTCTGTAAAGAATAAAGCAAATTTTCCTGATACGATATTTAGTAATATTTCCTATATCGTCCAGACTTCGAGGACACCCTGTAGATAATTAACACATCAACAATCAGACCAAAACTCTTGAAAATTTCTATTGGTATTAAATTTTGTTTACAGACTATTGAAAACTACATAATCAAAAACATTTATCGTGCTATTTATTTTGATAACTTCATCGAAATTCAACAATTCCATTCAAAATTTAGCACTTGACTTCCAGAATTAATTTTTTTAGTTCATCAGTTCATCACTAACACCTACACATGGATGACGCGGCGATCAACATATTAAATATTGAAAAGCATTTTCTCCTAAATTTTCTACAAACATAAAATTAACTCACATTTCGATGAATCGCAAGAAATCCATCGTCTTCCCTTTTCAATATCTCAACGCGAACGTTGCCGTTCCTCTGCACGGTGACCACTTTCCCAGTGCATTTTCCGTTTTCCATATTCCCAGAAACCACGTCGCAATACGTGCCAGGTGGTAAACAGCTCTTGACGGTTATATTCATATCGTATTGATCACCGTTGAACGCTACGAATCCTGCGTCGCCCCGACAGAAGACGATCTGATTGCTACCGTTGTCCCACCAATTGGTTACCTTCGTTCCATTTGCAGCGTTGCGAAAACGCACCATGTTGTAAATCTGACGCCAACGGTGCTCGCAGATCCACCCGCCGCTGCAGGTATTATCAGGCTGAATCATGGGGGAAACAATGCGTTCCTGGTTGTCCATTGGCGGACCTTGATTGAAGTCATTAAAATCGAAGGAACTCATCACTCGTGGGATACCGTAATCTTGGGCTAACATGAAACCCACTGCCATCTGCAAAGTTTTAATAAAAATGGATTATTTTTATTTGTTTACTACTTGGATAGTTCACTGGTCAAAAGAGGAAGTTCCTTTATGAGGACAAATTAGAGTTCCTGATGAATAGTGAACTGTCAGGAAACATCGTTTCCTTTAGAATTGAATGTGCATTGATAAGTAACCCTTATGTCAGAATGCAATAACTTGTATAATGAAAGATTGAATAATATCTTTGAAAGGTTGCATAGAATCAAAACTAGAATTCGAATTATTCGCATAATCATTGGCAGAGCAAGTAGTATAATTTAATCAGTCAGACTATATAAATAGATTTTTGTAATTCAGTCGAAAATTTCAATTTACTTTAATCTTCACAAATTAATGTCTTCAATGAAAATAAATTGAAATACATTGATTTTTCGATTACCTACGTATGACCCTCTTCAAAAACCATTAAGTTCTATATGGTGTATATGTAGGTCCTATATCATGTTTAATACAAATGAAAATATACAAGCGCTATATAACAATGAAACAAAAAATTATTAAGAAATTTATAGTAGCAGAAAGTATTAATCATGTTACGTTGACTAGCAATTATATTAAATGAACTAATTGTAAGTATCATTATTGCTTCCTAACTATAACATAGTGGCCAAAAGTTATACTAACAATTATTTCTCTTCCTCAGTTACATAATTATTGATTGATTAAAATAATTGATGTTATAAAAAAAGTATTAAATTCATTTTATTACCATAATCTAAGCTAATGTAAAAAATACTTCAGGGTCATAATTGTATCTAAACCTGTCTAAATCAGAAATCTCAATACTTGAATTTGCCCCCGTGTCTGACCACAGGTAGACTCATTCTACTAGTTTACATTATAAAGAAATCAGCTAGTCTGTAATCTGCGATTCGATAAATCCGATCATCTTCGAGAAATCTGTAATTCTGAAAAATAATTCAGTCGAAATTAACCACTTCAAAACATTTATTAATCGGTATTAAAATTTTAGACGAAACTGAAACTTAGACTAATTATTAAAGAAATTCCAATTAGAGGTGTAAATTTAACACACCAATGTACTCCAAATTAAATGCTATCGTTAATTAAGAAATCTTCATATGAATCTAAAATTTATCTATACTTATCGAGCTACTTTGTTGACCCGATTGCGGTCTAATAACAAACAATTATTATAAAGCAACGCGAAAATCGTTATATAGTATTATTTTACGAAATGACAAAGCGCATAATTAGCAATAATTGTGTTTGAATTTTTATATCAGAGAGTCTGTAATGAATTTAATGAACAAATTATTTAACTAAGTTTGTTTAAAATACCTTATACAATTTGGATGATTTGTAGGTGAGTACGTTCGCTGAGTTGGAGCGTTGAGTGTCGTGATTATCAATAAAAACGAGAGCATCTCGCGATGAAAGAAGATTCCATTTCTCCCCCCAATTAGAGAACCATTTCAAAAGATTGTTGCCACGGAATGAATTGCTCAGTTCCGCGCCATGTTGGAACTCCGTCACTACAGCTATGTCGATGTATTCGAATTTTGATACTGCTTCGTGGTTCCCATAGTCTATTACTTCTTGGAATACAAACGGTCGTGCGTTCGGCGGGAAGCCGTGTTCTATATTGAGATTCTTCAATCTAGAGTAAATTACGTTCAAATCTGCTGGCCACATATGCTTCGAAGCGTCCATGCTGAATAAAAAACAAAAAACAAAAGGTACAATTAAGATCTGCGAAATTAATCAAAGCTGAAACATTAATATATGGTGAGGTATATGGTTCTTATGGAAAGCTAGCTTGTGTGACGCAACTTTTGGTGTCACGTTTAATTACATTTGTTATTATTCTATATACCGTTAAATACTTTTTGAAAATGTGACTTTCGTCTTCCTTTTAATCGATGATAATTATTTGGTGATGGGAGCATTTAAGTAGCAGGTGACAATTATATGTATAATAATTATTTAAATTTCAC